AGAGGGTGCCCTCGACTCAATATCGAAAAGAGCGATTCAACAAAAAGGCCTGGATGGTGTGTACGAGCCTATCTGGGCTCTTTCGGCGAAAACCGATGAAGTTGGCTGCACCTGCGGCCGCGGCGCCGTTTGACAGGCGGGCAGCGATTGTGCAATCGGTCGTGAAGCGACCGGGGGCGTGATTACCTGCGCGGCCACCTGGGATTTCGCCCAGGCGTTTGTGACGGGTACGGGCGCGGGAACGTATTTTACGGGCGCGGGTTTGGGCAACGTAGATTTCGCGGGAGATTTTCTCGCGGGAGTTTTCGGGGCCTTAGCGCAGCCTCTATAACTAGCCGGGTGGCCGGTAGCGTGACAGTTTACGCAGTCCGGTGGATCTGCGCAATCTTTTGGCCTCGTGCACTCGGTTGTGCCGTGGTCACCGGTGCATTTGACGCACCTAGGGTGAGCGAAGCAATTATTGGCCGTGTGGCCAAATGTTGACAGTTGTGGCACTGTGCCACAACACCTGATTTTCGCGGGGCCTCGATGACTAAGTCACTGAGCCCACAGACCCTCTTTAGGTTGAAAATGGCCTTACCTTCCGGGGTAGGGTCAAGTTCCACCATGACCATGTCCATAGTGACACGGGTGCGAGGGTGCCTGAGGCGACGCACGGCGTGAACAGGGTATCCCTTAGTGCGGATGTCGACCTTAGCCCTATCGACATCCGACTCTTTCGGGACGCCCTTGATTACGACCCGAAGTTTACGCTCTTCGTGTAGTGAGTAGGTGTGGAAACCTACCTTAGCTTCGCGCAAGTACTTTGTTAGCGGCGGAAGTCGTCCGTAGAATCGAGGTATACGCGGATACCCATATGCGTATTTTTGGACCGGGGGTCTCGTATGTTATGGCGTTCGAACCATGAACATATTTGGTGCCACTTTGCCTTTTCTTGTATGATAATTGGCGGCGGTGACTTGATTTTTCGCTCGGAGGCGAATGTCGGTTCCGACTGGGCAGTCGCGGCTGCCTTTTTGGCAGGCGTGGCGGTGGGACGGATCGTTGAGGCGACCTCGCATTCGGGGTCGCTGTCGGTAGCGGGGCGTTTCTTGCCCTTTTTACGCGATTTAGCGACGGTGAAGCCGTCGGCGTTCGCATTTTCAGCGGGGGTCGTTTCGACCTCCATGTCCGATCCGCCGCCCGATTGTGAGTCGGGTACGACGGAGCGGAAAGAGGTCGGGTTTGGTTGCACGGAAGGCGCTACGGGCGAGTTCGCGTTAGCGGATGCCGAAGCGACGGGGGCTTCTAAGGTCGCGGAGGGCGCCGGGGGCGGCCGGGGTAGCGGGCGCAGACGGCGCGGGCAATGGCGGCGATGCGAGTTCAGCTACTTGCCTATGCTCGGCTGCATAGGCAAGATAACGTTCCCACATAGCGGGGCATTCTCTGCGAACGAACTCCTCGAAAAGGGAGCCCATCGCGATGTAAGTACCTTTGGGGCTTGTAGCCCCGCCGGCGTGTGTGAGCTAAATAAGCCTCCCCACCTTGCGGCAGGGAGGAGTGTGCCTAAAAATAACAACTAATTTGCCTGCGCTTAAGGTGCGCTAGGGTGCGTACCTAGCTGTCGCCTATTGCAACAAGCACACAGTTAATAAATTAAACAATGCCGCCTCTGAGGCGAGAAGTGTGTGTAGGATTCAACTTACAAAACAGGAACCTGCCTACGAGCACAACACTACACTAACACTAAACTACTGCACTATTTGCACAAGATATAAATTGCAACCGAGGTTGCGAGTGGCGTCTAATTCGGGTGGCATGTGCCCTCCGTCTTAGAGAGACGTCCGTTCCGTACGAGAGCACGAAGCGTAATCCGATGTGAAACTTCAGTATTCCTTCTTTATTCGAGCAAGCAGATGTTTTAACACGGTATCTAAGTAACAAGACGTTGTTTTATATAATACTTCTGTCAATCAGTTTAAAAACTGCTTAGCAACGCTTTTTTAAAAAAAATTAAGCCTAGGGAATATATTTCTGTAAATATTATAATAATTGTCATTGTAAACTGTACGTCCGGTATTCTTCCTTGTACGCTTATATACTTTTTTATTTAATTGTGGAAACTTTTAATTAGCCTTCTGTATTTATTATCTAAAGGTTTAGCGTAAGTTAGTTTTTTAAAAAGCGAAGGTTTTCTTGAGTCTCATCAGTAGAAGGAGCAAGAATGTCGTCGACGCACGTTGCAATTTTTAAATCACCACCCATAACTTAGACACAATGTGTACAATTCTCTATAAATCGAATTTACGGGGAGGTTTAGTTATGGATGGTGTAGTCTAAAAAAAAAAAGGACAGAATGTTGGGACATTGCTATGGTAATAATAATGATGAGACCATGTAGGATCAGTTAATAAGGGCTAATTAAAATTATCAGTTTTATGGGCATTTTTATTCGCACTAAGGCAAAATGGTCATCGCCACTGAGTATTAATGAAATATCGATATTGCAATCAATATGACATCCATAACTTCGATTGTCGACCAGACAGAAGATGACGATATTTTATAATATCGATAACAGCTGTAAGTCATTGGTCATGTGCATTGTGCATCATATATAATCCAAGAACAAGTAGAAATCATATTTTTATCACAATTTATTGGAAATTAAAAAGAACACACGAAAAACAATAGGAACACTGTTGACACATATTTACGTCCTCTAGTTTTGTCTGCAGACTAACTAAAAGTCCTATATTTTTCTGCCAATGTTTAGTAAAATAAACAACTTTGAGAGTTGTATGAACCGGTTTCAATATTTATTATTATTGGTAGTATAATCAGCCTTAGACAAACCCCCTCCAATGAAGTTAAAGTTGCTGCGCATGGTAGATGCTTCATAGCGATCTTTTTAAGCATTGGATTTAGATAAACAAGCAATAAAGCAATTCTACAGTTCAAAGGGGTTCTTGTTTAAGCCCATTAGAGGACTTAAAAAAGCGTTTAACTTAAAATGAACGTTTGTTGAGTATTTATTGATATTTCATCAATATCGATAAATAACACTCATAATTTCAATAAATAATTTTGAATTGATATCGTTAAAATAATTGTCAAATTAAAAAAATCGTTATCATGTCGACTTTTTACAAGAATTTAATTATTATTTAACCATTTTTTTTGCGATGAGTTGGCAAGCAAGCAGATGGTTCACCAAATTGATTGCCGGCCATGGAGATCTACAAAACTTGACGAATTGCACTTTATAATAATTATGGTGTTACATAAAGCATCTTGTAGGTTAATTTGCAAACTATTTTTGTATGATGGAAAATAAACACAGAATTGTTAATAAGACTTCGTTTATTTCGTATTGTATATCATTTAAACATTACTTTTATGCTTTTGCTCTCTGTTTATTCTGTAGGTGACAGTAATTTTTGTTCTTCTTTTTCTCGAGTTGACAAGGTAGTGTTTTATAAGCAAAAAAAAACTGCTTTCACAGAATAATTCCATTATGTTTTTCCAGAATTATATACTTTTATGAAGATAACAGAAACTTTTCTAATATAACAATGTATAAACATTTACTTCTAGAGTTTACCTGAAATATGTTTAAAACAAACCAATGCCATTTTGTAACCTCATTTGTGTAGAACTGGTATTTATTTGTACTAACTGGACTTAGCAAGCCACCAAATCACTTAAACAGGTCTTATTAAATATAGCGAAATAAATGTTCTAGTATTTATATCATTACTCAGTTTAATATCCAGGCACCATGTTCTCTTTTTACAAATCTTAAGCATATGCTACAACTTGAATCTATTATTCTTATTATACTTCAACAATGAAACACAAAGAAATGATCTTAATTGAAATGATCTGTAATTTGCTACCTCAGATGCATGATTAATAACTATAAGAGCGGAGTCACAAGTAAATCAATCTTATTATATATACACATAGTATATATTAAACTTGACACATTTCGTTTCTATGATGTTGAAAAGAAGTTCACTTATCTTTTAAGTGTTTAAGGACAAAAAATAGTAACACAAAATTCAAATATTCAAAGGCTATGTGTCAGAATATAGTGAATTGATTGCTAAATTAATAAAAATATTAGTCCTTTTGAAATTTTTATAATTTAAAAGACAAGTTAAATTTTTTGTAACCTTAGAAGTAGAAAAAACTTTTCACGAGGATTCCCAAAGTACTTATTTAGCCTGAATTGACATATCTAACAAATATTACTTAGAAGAAAAATAACAGGTACTTGAGAAAACACCATAACAATAATTGCATAATTGACAGTTTATGTTGAGAATCTATAAAGTTATTTAAACATATACTACTAATTTAACATATTTTTAGAATTTATGTATTTAATTAAAATATTTAAGGATGTTTTATTCACGCAAAATTTTTGTACAATCATGAATTTCGGAAGTACCATGATATTAGTTATAAAATACGGGTTCTATAATACATATTGTAAGAGATAATTTCTTATCCTTTTTTTATAACATGCAACCATTTCTTGATGCTACTATGTTTACTTTAGATGAACTTAATGCTTCTTAAACTGTTTATAAATACTTCAAAAATTTTGATTTCATGGCACCTGAGACAGCAATCTCCTAAAAAAATATTAATTACATGGACATAAATGGACAATTTTCAGAAAATGTATAAATATTTCCACTAGCGTTACTCACATAATTTGAATGATGAACTATAAAATGAACATTATAAAAATCTATTCATGATATATGAGCAAAGAAAAAATTATTGCATTACATTTCTTAACTAGTTTATTTATAACATTATAAGTAACGCAAAGCATCAAGGCTGATGTTTATCACTTTCTGCTGTCCAATAGTATTAACACTTTGTTTTATAACATACTTTGTGTATTTAATGTTTGTGAAATATTCATTTTTAATTTTTTTTTAAAACAATTAAAATTACTTTAATTTTTCAGATGATCACTGCATCATTATTATATTTAGAACTCATGATAGTGGTTTTAATGAGAAAGACAACTTAGGTCTTGAATTATTTTTGCCTAAAATTTTCTTTTGCTCCTCTTTTACTCTCTTTTCTTGTTCTTTTTTCAACTTCTGTCTTTCTTCATCCATTTTTCTTTGTTCTTCTATCATTGCTAACCTTTCTTCAGCCTGAAAAAGAAAAGAACAATGACATTCAAGAAAATGTATATTACATAACACATTTCACAATTACACCATTGATGTATAATAAACAAGACATGTAATAGTAGTCAAACCTGTTGTCAAGGACAATAATGTCAGGATTTTATTTTTGCATATTTTATTAACTGAACTATGAATAATTTATAAGTGAATTATATTATTTTGTATAAAATTGGTATCAGTACAAAATAATATATTTGAGCAAACTCACCAACTTTCGCTGTGCCTCTTCAATCTTACGGTTATTTTCTGCCATGATTTCCTCCAGCTCTTTTCTTTTACGAGCTTCTTCTTCCTGTATAATAAAACATCTATATTAATTTAAACCTCCAGCAACATAGTTGTTATAAACATAAAAAATAACAATAAATATAACATTTAAACATAACTTTTACATAACAGGTGTAAAAAAATACAATAAATATTGTGAAAACATAATATTGACTATCATTACATGATTTTTTTTCCATATCATACCAATATGCATGTAATACATTTATTGCAACTATTGTATGAACAAAACTGTACAGAAATGCCATATTCCTACAAAAAATTCATATTGCAAGTGTATGACATTATTACTTTTTTTGCGGAAACAACCTGCCATAAAAATGTAATAAAGTATTGTTAAACATAAAATGTTGGTATACAAATAATAGATTCAAAAAATACCTTCAATTTTCACGACAGGATCCTCAAGCAGCGTCTCCAAAAAATTCTTACGGCTTCTGGTCTTGTTCAGTCTTCTGACCTGACTTATACTCTACGTGACTGCCAAGGACAGTCAAGTGAACAATTTTAAAATGCTAGCCGGAAGCCTTAATGGCAATCTTACAATAAGGCAGTTTAAGCAAAGAGAAGTCTGCCTTGGAAGTGCAAATTACATGCATGTGGATTAATGAAGATGTCGAGTTAATTGTTACTAGATTGTCAGAGTGACAATAAAGAATTCAAGAAAATAATTCTTGTAAGCACTCGAACTACACCTGACTGGACCTTTAACAGATATGATCGAAATAATACTTTAATTAGTTACTCTTGTACATAATGTTGGTATTACTTAAAACATTGAAATGTACAAATTGTGTTTTTATTATCTGTGAAAACGTCAAGTTCCCACAGGTGAACTTTGGCCATGAGCAAAATCAACATCGTTGGTTGTTTTTACACATGGTTGATAGGCGGAAGATTGAGTTACCTGTCTCGCTAATTCCTCTCGTCGTTGTTGTTCACGTTGTCGCTCAAGCTCTTGCATCATTTCTGTTTCCATCTTGCGTTTGGCTTCTTCCACTCTTTTCGCCACTTCTTGCTCAATTTCTTCTTTACGTTTTTCTAATTCTTCCTCCACTCGTTTCTTAACTAGCAATTCTATTCTTTTTGCAGCCTCTTCTTCCACAACCTGTATTTGAATATGTTTTTAATTATAAATGAATATAAATTGTAAAATGTTTAATGTTTATGAATTTTAATGTTTATGAATATGTAGTTCATAAATTAGGAGTCAAATTTAATATTTATATATTAAGGTGCAAATACAGAAACTAATATTTTGACAAATAAATTAAACAGAACAATGTATGTAATACCATATGAATAAAAATATACAACATATTTAACACAATACTGTTATTGCGTTTTGTTTTCCATTGTTATTTACTAATTATTAGATAATCAGGTTAAAATAAACAGGTTACTAAGACTTGTATATCCTCTGCTAATACCTTTTGCTCTGCTTCTCTAACACGTCTTTGCCTTTCCATTTCGGCGAGCCGATCAACTTCATCCATTTTGCTGCGACCTTTTGATTTCTTTCTCCTACTTCCATCATAGGAAGCATCGCTTGTACTTGATGAGGATACTGACCGCGACCGTTTTCTAAAGGGATAAAAATAATGATTTTATTGAAAAACCTAATATTTTATACCTTATTCCATGTCATATGTACATTATTGTTATAAATTTACCTGGATTTTGAACTACGTTCTTTAGATTTCTCAACATGTTTTGAATTCCTACTTCTTGATGACGATCGGTCTTTGGAACGACTTTTCTTTCGAGAGTGTTTACTACTTTTGTGATGTCGCCTAGGCGATTTACTTCTTGATCTCGATCGACCCATTTTGAGTAATTGAGTAATGTCTAATTAAGGTGATAAATTGTTATGAATTGATAAACGCTTGCTTGCACTCATGCACTGATTCTCTCAAGAATCCTAAACACAGATTAAAAATAAATGTTTAGTTATTATTATTAGTAAGTCTACAGTAAAGTTGCCAGCTTATTTCTAAATATAACGTTTATGGTTTTTTGTGATAGATGATACTATCAATACTGGAAAAAGTATGAGAGGCAATAAGCGGGACCATTGGATTTTGTTGTCAGACAATTTTCCGATTTTATTACGCATGAAGATATCAGTGTTATTGAAAGAATACTCTTATGCAGTGTAATTTAGACAGCTCTACATTAAAAGAACTAATAAACAATGTGCAACTCCACATGCCAGCATCCGCTACAAGAACCGAGACAATTAAACTTAGCGGTTTGGTTTTCCAAGGGTACCTAATGACTCTGCAATTTGTTTAGAGCCTGTCGAAGCTTTAGCCACATTGGTGTCTATTGAGACATTTATGCTTTTTAAACAGGTATTTCGATTAAAGACAATTAAACTATGCTATATAATATTTCGTAAAATATAATTATAAGCAAATGTGAACTGAGGTTCGTGATGTCGTGGAAGTTATTCGAGAATTTGAAACTGAAGCTAAGAAACAATGTTGCACCGTATAGAACCAGTAATTTTCAGTAGCATTGACCATTTCGTCTCAAGGCTTGCTAAGCGCATTTGAATGTGCGTATCGTCTTTGTCTACCGCAAATAATCTTTCGAAAAACAGCTCTTTCATGAACAGCTGCAAATTGAGCGAATGGTTTCAGCTTTTGCGATTAGAAGGCAAAGAAACATCAGATATCTTTTTTTTATGTGAGAAACTGGCAAACAAGCTGGCGGTTTACCTAATGTTAAGTGATTATCGCCACCCACGGACATTTGCAACACCGGTAGGTTTTCAGATGCGTTGCCACCTTTTAATAAAGTTGGCCCGGCTAGCTCACTAGTCACTCATCAGAAGAAATGCAGAAGAGTAACACTTCTACTTCCCCTCCAACCGGGTTTACGCGGCCTTGAAGTGGCGGAGGGGCTTAGTAGCCGTGGCTTGTTCACCCACGGCGAAACTAAGGGGAACACACACTGTTGGCCTGTGGTGTAAGGCTGGTCCGAGAGCGCCGCTCCGAGTGGGCTCATTGAGCCCACTCTGGATGCGTGCTGGAGAGATGCAGGGGACAGGTTGAGAGTGGTGGAAGAGGAGCCACTCTCCTTGTCTTCTGCTACCAAGGAGGAGTCACGGGGGAAGAGGAGTGGCGGTATTGCGTTTGGCCGCTCTCCATATCCTCCGCGACTCGGCGAGGCTGCACCGCTGATGCAGTGGTGGTGGGGCCGCGAAGTGAGAGGAGTTTCGGTATAAAGATGCGCCGTTCGCTCTACCCTCCGCGGCCGTGGTGAGCGGCGGAGCTACAGACCAGGTCCATCGCTGGGGGCTTGGAGTTTTGCTTCTTATTAGCACTAATTCTCTGGGCTCCCATGGCCCCGCTCGCGGGGAGAGGGGAGTTGTTCCCCGAGAGGAGGCTGATGAGTCGGCCTGCGCTGGCAGGGTCGCGGAAGTTTGCGAAAGCGTTCCCTTGAACCTGCCGATATGCGCCTAGATGGAACATCATGGGGACATAACCCGGTCTTGCCCCCTGATTTCCCTCACGTAAACAAAAAAAAAAAAACACTTCTACTTCACGCCGGTCTTCTGTGAGGTCGTAGTACTAACCTGGATGGATCTGCCCATTCGTGCAACAGCGAATACTGATGCGCGCCCTACCATAATGTGATACAATCAAGATCCAAATCATTTATTCATCGACGAAAAATACATATTGTTTCTACTACCGTTTGGTAATGAGGTTCATCTGACGGAAAATAAACAGGCGAAAGAAACTCTGTAGATATTCTCTTTTTTTGTAATTATTTTTAGAAATAGCTTGAGAGCCAGGCGGTTCATTTATATTACAGTAACTCATACTAAGTTTTTCTTTAATAAATTTCTTAAGCCTCCCTATTGGCTTTTGATTTTGTTGACGACAATAAATAAGCTTAGCCGAATTCGCTCTTTTTTGAAACAGGGTCCACTTGTATACTTATATGAAAATGAATGTTGCATACGTGGAGTGAGGAAGAGCGACGTGGAGTGAGGAAGACATTCAGAATTTAGGCGAATAGAAAACAAATCTAAAAGGGAGATTAAATTAAGACACAATAATTGGAATGTGCGTTAGAAACAAAAAACAAACAACACTTGTTAATAGACGCTGAATAGTGTTATGAAAGCATACTATACCACAACTTAACCGTAGTAAAGTTTCATTTAGGGACGAAGCGTCCATGTTGATCTTAGGATGTCTTCGTTTTTCATCTTAAGATAAGCATGGATAAGACGAAGATTTCTTGGGACTAGTTGTTGACAAATACGTTTACCTTGGACATTTTCCGGCTAAGTAAGTCCAACTTTGTCGCAGAGATTAATCGGTGGAACTAACATGGATGGGAAAAATTCGGGAAACTTCTCGTCAAATATTCCTCAACGTTTAAAGATTAAAGTTTTCAATTAATGTGTGTTGCCAGTGATGACCTACGGAACCGAGACGTGGTCCGTCGCTGCTCGAGCGGGCTGTGCTAGGTATTTCTATGTATGATAGAGTTCGCAACGAAGAAATCTGCAGTAGAACAAAGATAACCGACATACCTCAGAAGATCAGTAAGCTAAAGTGGCGAAGGGCTGGCCATAGCTCGAATCGATAATAACCGATTAGTGGCAGCCTAGTAACGGCCATTGCAAAGTAGGACAGGATCAGATTTAGAGGTCTGGAGGCCTCGGGGCAACAAAGGAGTGGAGGCCCATTGACCCCATATGATTTTCTATTGATTTCTGTTAATATTTTATAATCATGTTTTTACAAAGTATTGTAGGTAAAATTAAAAGGCGAAAAGTTGTTTACTGTTGTTTACTAGTCTGAATTTGATTTATTTTTCCGAAGTCTTTATTGTGGGAGCCCTCGTTTGTGGAGGCCCCGGGGCTGTTGCCCCGGTTGCTCTCCCCTAATTCCGGCCCTGGTGTAGGATGAAACCCCCATTAGATGGAGTGTCGACCTATGCAAATATGCGGGAAGTCGATGGATGCAGGTGGCTCGGTATCGTGCTTCGTGGTAGTTTGCTCGGGGCATATATTCAGCAGTGGCTTCTAACAGGTTGAAATGATGATGACGATATTATGGAAAATTAATAAAAAGTAAAATTTTCTACGATATTTAATAAAACAGGATTGAGATCACAGACATAACATATGTATTAAAACCACTAGATAGCATTTACTGCAAGGCATCTTTCTTTGAAGAATTAATGACCAATTAAATATTGTAATTTTTACCGAATTTGGCTGTAACGTAAAATGTAGAACTTAAAGGAACATAACTGTACCAAAAACATAACGTAGATGATGTAATAGTTGATTCACGCTGCAGATACCTTAAAACTGCATCGTCATAATAGGCTTTTTAAAATTAGCGTTGTACTCTTTTTCTTTTTTATTAATGAATGATGTTATTTCTGGAGTCGCCTGGAGTATGTAGTCTTTAGGTTTTATAGGTAATTTCATTTTAACTTGAGTTTTTGAAGAATTTTTAATGTATTTTTGTACTAAACGTGCGATATCTTTAGTATCTATGTTTTCAGACCTACTTTCACATTGGCAATATTTGCTTGTATGATTGTTGCATTCAGTCGAAACTCGTTTATCAAACTCATTTAATAAGGCACTAATAGTTGTCAAACTTGAACTGGTTTGTGAATGATTCAAACATTCTTGCTTAACAGAACACATTTTCACTTGCTGGAAACCAGTTCTTAGTGCGGTTGCATTCAGTATCGACACAGATTTAGGCAAAGGACATAATTTAGGCACAATCAGATTTTGCTCTCTATTTAAATGTTTTCCGGAGGTATCTTCTAAAGTATTCCATTTATGTTTTGAAACATCAATTATCGAATCTTTTCCGAATAATGATTTTGATATAAAGAATATTTCATTGTCAATTTCGTCACTAGAAACAGTGAAATTACTTAACTGATTTATTGGCAAAGTTCCTTTGTAGAAATAATCATTAGAGAGCGGTATTCCGCGTACGGATAGTTCAGTAGAGCTGCTAAATTTCGGTACTGTCATTGGTTGTTGATAGATACACTCAAATTTCCCCGTTGAGGCCTTCGGATCTCCCATGGAGTCTATAACAACTATGGAAAAAAACGATTAATAGTTTAAAACAACTAACAAGCTTCAGTCTCAGGTATCAAAATCAAATATCTTTATTCAACATAGGAGTATTACCTTTAATAATATCATCAACGACTGCTGGACAAATCTTGGCAGTAACTTCAGTAGTGTTGGTAAGATCAGGACAGGAGTTGATTTCTATTAACCATGGCGTGTACTCTTCGTCCAATAGAAAATCGCATCCGTAGAGCTCGAACCGATTTTTGCAAAATGGTAAAGAATCTTGGCAACTGAGCATAATTCCTATTATGGACTTTTTCATTCCAGGGTAAATGATGTGTTCCCAAACTCCATCTAAACCGATTTTGCTCAAATAATTCTTATACGTATCCAATTCCCACATGTTATTATCGGGCAGCTCGGAGTGGCGACCGACGTAGTTATTGTATTTTCTTTGCACGGCATTGTTCGTTAGGTGAATAGATTCATGATAGTTTTCGAGGTTATATTTTTGGGAACTGAACTTTAAATAGCAGTCTCTGTACATCCAAATAACTAAAGGATATGTGCTAGTAACTAGGTAGTATTGCCTTATATCAAATTTTGTTTCGTGTATTAACAACGGTTTTTCTAAAATTTTATTCACATAGATTTAAGGATTATAATCGCAAAATCAAAATCATTATCTATAATTATATCCAATCTCTACTTTACCGACGGTTAAATGGAAACATGAAATAATTTGTATAAGATTACTTTAATTTGCTAAAAGATACTTAAAATGTTTAAAAATGCTAAATTCTATAACTGGAAACTACAATTTAATATCCCTTTTGATGATATTAAAGTTACACTATTTGTAACGCATAAAAGAAAGTACAAAAAAGGGTGTAATTATCATCGTTTGGAGTTGTTCAAGATAGTATGGTCTTCCAAAAAACCGTCGTTTTTTATGTGAGAAGGCGGCAAACGAGCTGGCGCTTCACCGCAAGCCATGAACATTTGCAACATCCGTTGGGTGTCAGATGAGTTGCACTTTAAATAAAAGGTTTTTATTCTATTGTATTTCTTCTGGTGAGTAAGTAACCGGAGCTCATAATTGTAAAGGTTGACAGAGCAGTTTCAACCACAGGTGCTATGATCCACAGCACCTGTAGCTTTGGCCGATGATTACTTACCAACTGGGGAGCCGCTTGCTGGTTTGATTATTTCTAATAAATTTCCTCTACAGCATACGGACTACAAAGTAAAGTATTAACTTACCAATATATTTTTGAACAACATACTTTGCATTAGCCTTGGTTAACAAGTCTGTGATGACACCTAATTTAGAGGCCATTCTAATTCCTCTACCTCTTGAGCAATGAGCTGGCTTGATAATCCAAATATTACGATAACCTTCGCAACTTAGTTGTGGCCGGTATCTATGAAACTTTTGCAACAATATTTTTGCGTACGTCAAATACTTGGGAAATTTATTACCTTTGTCGAGTTCGAAAACTTCGCTATTTGTTATCAAGCGATAGTATTTTTTCAAAAAGGCATTCCATTGTTTCGTATTTATCGTTTTTATTGGATGATCAATGTCTTTGTTTCGTTTATAAAATATATATTCTTCGCATCGGTTTAAAGCAAAAGTCATTACTGTTATTGGAATGGTTCCGTGATCAGCGAACACTATTTTTTTGTCGGCTAGCATTGATATTACCCATTGTATAAGACTCGTGCAAGCAGTTATTCTATAGTCTGTAACAAATTCGTCTACTTCCCCACTGTCGTAGCTGTTATACGTTCTAGGACAAATCACTTCTGCCACGTCTTCGATATAAAACCAATAATTGATTTTCATAGACATGCATAGGCCCTGTTTTGTAGTCCACAATGCGTCCGTCTTTAGTTTATTTACAATCGTCTTGCATTCTTTTTTCATGTCAATTGTTGTATCATAATCGTGATGTGTTTCGCGCCAAACGAAATTTGGATTGCATTTTTCCACTAGATTGGAGAGCATTAATCTCTCTAACTCATTGTATATGTCTGATTTACTGGAAAACGTACCGTTATTTATTTTTGCGAGATTCATTCGGTTGGGCGGTATTTTTTCCACCCAGCCTCTTTGTAGTAAGGCCTTTCGTACAGCATTGCATGAACCATAAATTAAAAACACTTTACTTTCTCGCTTTGCTCTATCTGCAAGTTCTTTTAATTTAGAATATCGGGAAGTTCTGCTTTGTAAATTAGATATTATATAACTTTTTTCTTTTGAAGAAAGCCCCAAAGAGCGAAATTTACTCTTGAAAGTACTACTTTTACCATAATTTTTCTTTCGTATTGGTGAACTTTTTAGTTTTGAAAAAGGAGAATGAACCTTTGGTAAGTGACCCTTTTTACGATTGCCAGTGATTTGATCCTAAAAAAAAAGGTCCTTTGTTTTATACATGAACGAAATTTATTATATTGTTACGTGTTAGGGATTCGAAGGATTTGGAGAGAAAGACCTGCTGACTCTTTTGAAGACTTTATTCAATAGCACTAGGTCCAACACAAAGCACTAGGTCCAAACACTAAGCACTAACGATGTCCTATTTTGTAGCCAAGTCGTAGGTTTCACTGGTATCGCTCTTGATCACTAGTTTTCGCTCCGAAGTCGCCTCGAAGGTAGCTCAAACTGAACTGTATTCGCTCGCCTCCCCGCGGCTTTTTATATGGGCCGAGACCGGTTCTAGCGTCAACTATTAAAATCACTAAAGAACAAAGACGACATAAAACCCCCTATTCAATACTAGATGGCGTTAGAGGAACTGCTGTGGAACTATAGTCTCGAAAACCGGGTACATTCGCGAACTTTCCGGAATCACGAACATGTTCGGGCGTGTCGGGTACGTTCCAGGAAGGATCTTTATGGATTAGTCTGGAACCGGTCTCGGCCCATATAAAAACGAGGCGACTTCGGAGCGAAAACTAGTGATCAAGAGCGATACCAGTGAAACCTACGACTTAGCTACAAAATAGGACAACGTTAGTGCTTAGTGTTTGGACCTAGTGCTTTGTGTTGGACCGAGTGCTATTGAATAAAGTCTTCAAAAGAGTCAGCAGGTCTTTCTCTCCAAATCCTTCGAACCCCTAACACGTAACAACATATTCAACTTTGACATCGGAAGCATTGGATGTAATGGAATAATGCGAGGCCGTGGACTTGCGATATATTAAAAATGTCACGTTTTCCATATTGAGTGGTAATAGATTTTTCTTTTTCCACATTTCATTTGTGCTGATTGTCACTTTTAAACCTTTTATATAACGACAGGTTCATGACCTGCCAGCGTCTAAGATATACACTGTAAAATGTCGGGAAGGAAGCGTATTGAGGGTTTTTACCATCATTTACATCTTCCGACCCACCAGGAGATCACTTGCGCTGTCGCTTCTTATCCGGTCTACAGAACCGGAAAATCAGGGCTCTCATTTAAGAACCTTCAAGAAGAGAGCATACTTCTAACTTTAAAGAAGCAACGGATGTTGCAAATGTCCATGAGCGGCGGTGATCGCTAACCATGAGGTGACCCGCTTGTTTGCCTCCTTCCATGAAAAAGTAACCCATTTCCACCTTTTAGTTGCTATTTTAAAAGCAACAGAGCTGACGGGGCGGCACGTCCGCTTCTGGCTTACCTATCTTTGAAACAGGTCGGATCTAGAATAAGCGTATAGAAATAAATAAGCTCCGTAAAAATCATGTAAGATATTTCCAGTCAGCGAGTAATATCGCAAACATTGCAAGCGTATATTGTATTAGGTATATTTGCATAAATTCTAAGTCCGAGAGTATATTATGCAATACCTGAACATCATGTACAGAAGTAAATTTGACAAGACATGGTTTTTTTACAGTCTTCTCTCGTGATATGTGAATTTCTTTTGGTTTTACCTAAATAAATGAAATAGTTTTAATGCTATGGTAATTATTTTTATTTAAAAGGATTATTTACTGATTATTGTGATTAAAAAAATTACCTTTTTTGTCCGTTTATTTATTTTCCTTTTTATTGGCATTTTTAAATTGAAAACTTAGAAATACTCCGTTAAAATGCTTTAACCATCATAATTTTAATTTTTTTGCTAAAAATTTACTAATTTAACATTACTTAGTAATTCAGCAAGCAATACGTAATTTCTATATGTATTGAACAATATACTTATAGAATAAATACCTTGTGACATCTTAAAAATGTTATTTTATAATCATAATTATTTATTATTCAGATTTTCAGAAACATTATTTATTTATAAGTTTAATACGTTTAATCATGGTCTAACGGGACGTACGTCAATAGTTTGAAGGTTTACAGTTTAAAAAACAAAAATCAGTCAAGTATTTATAATTTTATAACGTACTCTGTGATGTGGCTTTTTAAAGGAATAAATAAAGTAAACTGAGTACAATATATTTATTTTTATCACCATAAAATTTTAAGATTTCAACAAATGTGCAATAGCAATCACATAATTTCAACATTTAAAGGGCATTTAAATTCTCGCAGACAGATTAAACTTTCCTTAAATTTTAATAGGTTTAAATACATAATTTATTAATCAAGATTTAAAAACCATTCTTTCTTTTAATGGCTTTACCAGCCGATTCGTCTTTTAATGGCAGGTGATTCGTCTTTTAATGGCATTACCATGACTCTACATTTCTTTGAGAAGGATTTTTGTTTTGCCTTATTCTCGTCTTGAAGCTTACAAATATTTCTACCAATTGCACTCAATTTTTTTAACGAATTGGAATCATTTATGCAACTTCGAGAACTTAGCGGTTGCAAGAACGCCTTACGATTGGTACCGACATGACTCGATTTAGTTTGTCGGATTGGCACATGGTCTTGAATGTTGGTAGCTATTTTATTTTGAACGGATATAGTAGACCGCAAGATACTGGCCGTTTCCCGCTCCCATTCGACAGGATCAATGTAACACCTTTTGTTTCCCACTGACATATCGATTTTTGGCTTGTCTGTTTTTCTAGCTGATTCGGTGCGATATTTAAGGATTTGTTTCGTCGTTTGATTATCCTCTGGTCGGCAGCACGAATGATGTGTCACCCGCCGTTTAAATTCTTGATTTCTTTCGCGTCTTCCTCGAGTCCTAGAAGAGAGCGCGGAGGTTTTACGTTTTTTTGAGGCAGACTTTAAGGCGTTATTAGTTTTGATTACAGTTACTGCTTGGCGTACCGTGAGTGATTCCTTGGGACCCAGTAGGATACCGTCTTTATTCGTCGGAAAAGAGTCGTAGGGATTCAGCCATGTCAGAAAGTCTGTGATAATTGGCCCGTTGTATTCTAGGGGCACCGGTTGGTGAGATTCATCGGTGACGTCACCGGAGTGGGTGCGAGGCGCCAATGTTGTAGCGCTCCTGTGTTCGTGTTTACGCTCCTTGATTTTCTTATGTAGACGCTTGCCATTGATGCACAGCGATAAGCCCAGGTAAGCCGGTGCCTTTGGGATCGTCTGCCTGTAGGCCAATTCGAAGGTGCCCGTGTCAGCATCGACGTTGTGACGTCTGTCAAGCACAACTGAAAATAACGCAACTAGGTAATTTAACATGATTGAAGAAGAAGATAACAAATGAATTGAAGAAAACTTCATGTTTATTACTCATATTAATTGTTACCTTTAATAACATCTTCAAGACATTGAGGGCATAGGCGAGCTGTGACAGATGTCGTTGGCGCCAGATCTGGGCTGGAGTTGATTTCAATGAGCCACGGAGTAAAGTCATCGGTTAACATAAAATCAGCCCCGTACAATTCGAAGCTGCTTTGCCTCTTATCCATTGATTCTTGACAAGCTAACATAGCTCCAATCAGTGACTGCTTGATGCCTGGATATATTTTGGTGTCCCACAGTTCATACTTTCCGATCTGTCTTAAAAAGTTTAAACATACCCAAAATAAAGGATTGATAATAAAAATGCTACTACATCAAGAGGATTTCAATATGGTTAAATGTCGCTTAGGAAGAATCCAGTTTGATTTCACCCCAATATTAAATTTGATTAAGGTTTGCCGCTACTATTTTCTATAGATTTAATACCTCAGATAAGCTTTGAAAGTATGACAGTCCCACATATTTTCGTCAGGCAAAGCTTTGTCCCTGTCTCCATTATTTTTATATTTCGTTTGGACTGCGTTGTTTGTTAGATGAACGGACTCGTGGTAGTTTGATAAACTGAAAATCTGCGAGCTAAACCTTAGGTAGCTGTCCCTGTATAGATAAAACATACGTTTATCATTAACATCAATTATATTATAAAGCTCAAATATAACCTTATGCTTAACCGTATGCTTACTTATATATCCAAATAGTTAGTGGCTGACAATTTGTTATTAAGAACCACTGTCGTATATCAAATTTTGTATTGTATATCACCAATGGTGTTTCTGAAAGGAAACCGAACGCTATTTTAATAAATTTAATTCCGACTTAAATCAATAAATATGAAATGGATTTAATCTACCAATATATTTTTGTACGACGTATCTGTTTTTCTGGGCTGGGATGTTTATGAGTCCAACGATATCCTTTATATTGTTCATTAGTTGGATACCTTTCCCGCGACATTTATTACCCGGCTTCACAATCCAAATGTTTAAGACGCCGTCAATGTCAATTTGTGGCCAAAACTTCGTTACTGCAGCCAAAGCCTTACCTGCCTTCTTTTCTAACTGTCTGAAAATTAGACAATGGTTTACAAAATGAAAAATCAGACATTATTTACATAAGATATTCAAGTATCAAAATAACGATATTCATAAAATTATAATATGTAAGTAATAAATGTTTTAATGTAATAAAATAATTATGAGCTTAAGGAAACATGATAATTTTTTGCCATAAACTTAAATATTGAACTATATAAAGACGAAATCTAGATAAAAAATCGATGTAAGCACTCAATGCAGAGGTTTTGTGGAGATGTGGTTCAGCCACAATTCTAAGCCCTTAAGTGTACGAGGATAGTTCATTCTTATCCTTTAAACGAGCAATTCTTGTATATATATATATATATAATTTGAATCTCGGAAACGGCTCCAGCGATTTTCATGAAATTTAGTATGTGCGTAGATTCGGGGGCGAAAAATCGATCTAGCTTGGTTTAATTTTTTCGATCTAGCTTGGTTTAATTTTTAGAAAATGTCCTTTTATCCCTGTTTTCAGGGAATGAAAAATATCATTCGAATATGACGGTAAATTTCGCCGCAAAAAAAAAAATGTTATAATAGCTCAATCGGAAACCGGGCGGCCCCAAAACAGACGGCCGTGGTTCGTATCGCAATCATTTACACACTTATTTTTTTACTTTTTTTCGATTCCAGATCATTGATTTCTTTATTTTTTATTTTTCGTCGGTTTGTTATTTTGTTATTTTTTTCCCTTTTTTTTTAAAGTTTTTTCTTTTGTGAAAAACACCAGTTCATATTTTCATATTATTAGGTCGGTAAGATCGAAAAATATTATGCATATTTCATTACTCAGTAATTTGTATCTAAATGTAATCTCCAAAATATATGATTTACCAAAAAAAAAAATAGGTACGTAAGGTAAGGTAAAACGGTAAGGTCCTCCAGGTACTTATAATTATACGATAGCTTACCTAATATTCACTGCGCCATCAGGCAAAAACTTAGCCTTTTCATGTACTAGGAGATAATGATGTGTTAAGAATTGGTCCCATTCGTGTTCCCATATGTGTTGGCTTTGGTCCTCAAAATCATCGATATCTCTATGAGAGTAGAATGTCACATGTTCATTGATTCTATTAATTGCAAATTCAATTGCAGTTAACGGTACTTTCCCGTGGTCCATGACCTGTTTCTCTACGTTGTTAGTTTGGAATGTCTTACAGAACCACTTAACGAGGCTTATGCAAGCGGTTATACGGAAATCATCTATGAATTCCTCCAGATTTTCAGAATTGTGAATATTATAGCAGCGCGGGAAATTGGTCAAAGCTATACCGGGCTCAGTGTACCAATGCATTTGAGTAAGTGAAGTGGTTAACCCTTCTTTAGTAGTAAATATGGACCTGCAAAATCTGTAAGAATAAAACACAAGAAATAATTTTTGCTATAAACCATTTCTGACCAAAGGCGATTTCTTAGTAGGCGACATGTACACATAGAAATACTTAAATTTCCCCGCCCTATAAAAGGCAACCGACAACTGTTACACATTACACAGTGTCAATTATTACAAAACAATCAAATCAATATCTATATCCCTTAGAAGGGATATATATATTTTGGTTATATATACGTTATAACCTTATCTATACGTTAACAAGAACAATACCTAGAGAGAATATATTTAAAAACAAATAGATCTCGTGGTTGCATGTACTTATAGCTTAATGTATTTATGTTATTTAACGGATAAAAGTTTTAAGGAATACTTGAAATAATAAATTGATGTTTGACAAAATGTATTTATTTTATTCTCAATTCCAAATTAGCTCAATTTGTTTCATAGGTACCTGCTTATAATGACTTCTTTGTTGCTCAACAACCAGTCGTATTTGTCCCTTTTGGTGGTCCATAGAAAGTCGACAGAGTGGTGCTCCATAAATTTGTACAATATCATCCTTTCCACTTTTGTGAGCTCTTTGTCGCTCGCTTTTTTTGGATCAACATTCACGGGCGGATGACGTACCTTAAAATAAATACAGTTGTTCATAGAAATATTTGTTCTTAAAATTGTTATTACTTACATGTTTCTTTTTTTTCTGTCGCTGTAAAATATCTTATTATATACATATAATATAACATTCGATAAACTACACTACCTTTGCTCGTGCATAATAATACTGCTGCATTAATTTTTGGACTTTTGGTGAACATTTTTAGCACGGTTTTCCAGCCGTTCCATTAAGATATTAATGTATCATAATATGATACATTAATAGTAAAACTATAATTACCTTTTGTCTTTCAAGCGTGATGTAGCGTTTACCCGAGATTATGTTTTGACAAAACTATACAGGGAGATTTTTTGAGAAGTGCCCAATTTTACACAGGAGGTAGTATAATCGTTTATTGTAATAAAAAACAAAGATTTTTTTCCAAAAAGCAGAACGTGTTGACATTGCGATAGTCATTCATAAATACCTAAATTTTATTGTGCACGAAGTTGTGTGCGTGTTAGTAATGAATAATCGCGCGTAAAATAAATGAGTTGCGTATAAATTACGCACTTTTTGAGATAAGTTCAAATGAATGTAATTAATTACTTACGAGTGATTTTAAATATTTATCATTTTTATATAACATTATTTATGTCTAGAATTTAATAAAAAAATTGGCTACACATAAAAAAGCCACCCTGTATAACATGTTGCATTGTTGTATAACAGTTGGGGTATTCCTTCAAATAATACGAGCGGTTTTCCTTATCAGCGAAGGTTGCAAACAAGCGGAATCTGAATCTAGTGGCAGGTAATTACTGCGTCCCATATACAAGTGGACATTCACAATACCCGTGAGGATGCAAGTGCGTTGCCTTGTAGATGGGCCCGGAACTATCTCATTAGATGACTCGCAAAAATATAAATACTTCTATTTGATACTTCCCCGGCTGACTCGCTGTCGTGACTGTCGCATGATCGTCGGGTCAGTAGTTAGTAGTTTCAGTTTACTAAATTTTCAATGGAGCACCTTATGAGATTCGTATTTTTCGATCCAGCCCCGGTCTAGAAGCGCTTTCCGTACAGCCGGGAATCCGCCGCCCTTTATCATAAACACCCTGCGCTCCTTCATCGCAGCGTCGGCGAGCTTCTTCAGCTCGTTCCACCTCTCGTTGCTGACCCAACTCTTGTACTGCTTCAGTTGATCCACGGACGTAGTTGTTTCTGCTTAAAAACAGTTTCGTTTCATTAAAATGTAAGGCATTTGTTTTTTATCTATCAGGTGTCAAGCGAAAAGGTGCTCACTCGACGCTGGTCACCGCCGACGATAAATACTCGTAAAAAATAAGGTGAAGCAAAAGTGTTATTGTATTCATAAGTGGCCGTCCTAAGTTTAGGAGCTTGCATTAATAATTAACATGTCAAAGAAACAAGAGGCTATTGTTACAAACGAGACCAACCAGCTGGATACTTTATAGTTTGTCACGGAGTCAATCGCAATTCAACAATTTAACTGCGGGTCTGCGAATTCTGTTGCTGTCTCAACTTCCAGACCGTGCCAACGTATAACACTACTGCATACTAAAATTCGCTGCATTTGTACTAAAAAGAAAGCATACCTACTAACTGGCGTGAGTGCGAGCTGTTATTTGTGAGTTAACTACACCATGGAGCAATTATAAGATAATCTATTGACACGTTGTAATAATAGGATTATGAAGAATCTTTCCTATTGTTTTTCTATATTTCTGATTCAGTGAACTTAAGTTTTTCAAAACTTCATTAGAATACATGATCTAAGGATAGAGTAGGTTGTGAAAGACTAATAGCCTTACGTTCGATATAAGGTTCAAATTTAATTAACTAGCCCCTATACGTTACAATATTTCGAGTTATGCAAGTAAACTAACTTCTTAGATAAAACGAAAGATATTCGAAATTTTATTGAAAATAAGAGACTATTACGTTGAATAAGCTACATAATCTATGTGTACGTAGCATACATAACGTAGCTTATTTAAAGTGGTAGTTTTCAAAATGAGGGATGTACGTACCGAGCCCATAGTCAGACTTCGAATATGAAACCGCACTCGAGGGTCGCAGCTCCTTTTTGTTGACGCTATCTTTATGGAGCTTTGAGTCTGATGTACTTTCCTCTAATGCCATCGTTACAGCCATCGCTGAGTAAATTCAAATTTCTTGTAAAGGGTGTCTGTTTCAAATATCATTTTCCGATTCTGATTTTACAGAGACGTGTTTTCTGTTCAGTGGTTGCAGATAAACTGAATTTCTAAATATATACCAGTGCATTAACCTACTTTACACTTTAACCTACATAGTAGGGACTTGGAATATAATCGGGGTATGGGCGCATCTCTGACTGGTACTGTAGGTTCACGTGACGTCATTTTAATAGCGTCCTTCGCCTAATGCGCCCCGAATTACTTAGAAATTAATAAAGCCCAATAAGTCTTACCGCTTATGAAATATTATAAGATAACTGAGTCAAACAGACCACAGTACTGCTCGAAAACTCATGAAGAATTTTGAAACTTTTAATTTATACCGATGACAAGTTGTGTGAATTAATGTTACATTTGCCGAAATATTGACGTAAGTATGCAAAGCGATGATAATAATGGAAATTTTGACATTTCAATATGAAAATATAGCAAAAAGTTTCCGCAAGACTTTGGGAGTTTATCAATTTTAAATATCAATAAAATTATTTGTTTCAAAATATTTAAATACTTATTGTATCAAGTAATGAATTACACTTTAATTTTATGTACATTAAATATAGTTATTCATTTATTATTCATGCCCAAAGACGAGAACTGTTAGACTTTATGTACCTACCTATTGGAGGTCTCATGGTTTTTCGTTCAATATTGGTTTACTTCCTTAAATTGCTGTATTACCTACGTTAGCGATTTTAAGCAGTATCGAATGCATTACGATGAATATAGAAATAAGGAAAGGCAAAATGTATTATAATTATGATTTATTAGTACCATGCGCCTTAGTTTATACAAAACGAATATGTTTCCCTGAAACTCTTAAAGTAGTTAATCCTGAAAAGGACGTATGGAGGCATGGACAGAACAAAAAAGTAGCTAAAATCAAAGAGTACTTTATATATCTGAAAATCTTTTATATATCTGGGTAAAACGGACGGATACGGAACACAATTTGGTAAGTAATAAGGGTATCTAGTTATACTTTCCAGGACTAGATGGCAGCACATAACATGTAAGTAAAGCCTGCATAATACTAAAATATACCTATTTATATTGCCTAAAATAATATGTAATTATGTTTTTGATCGACGACAGACATTTTATTGAAAATTTACACACTCATTTTTATATTTATTTTGCAAATTAATATTTAGAAATTAGTCTAGACAAATGTTACCAATTTAGTTCCTGATTAGTTACTTAAATTAAGCAACATTTTTAGAAATATTTTATTTTGAACATAGGTTAAAGAAAAAATGATACAAACTGCGTAAGGAGAAATTACAAATACGAACTTCAGTCGAGTTTCTTAAGGTTGTCCACCATGTCAGTCGTTGACAAATAGTTGAGTCAATCCTGAATGTTGCCACTTCTGATTATGACATGAAAGCAAGATGGCGAGTTCATCTCCGTTTAATAGTTTGTTCCGTGTTACTTCAACATACGTTAGATGAGAATTTTCTGCTACTGTTTTTACTGAAATAGCAAATGGTAAAAATAGTAATGATTTTTTTTTTAAATTAGTAAAGTGTCACAAATATTTAAATTATGTTTAAGATAATATTTTGACTCAGATGTGCATCTATCCCACCTGAGGAATGTTGGTTTTTTTCAGTGATTTGTGATTCGGTCAGGTGTTTTCGTTTTATAATTAAAATTTCGTTCTTGCGCAGTGAGTGAAGTTACTGAGTTCAGATGTATTTGTGTCGTGGGGATGTTAGATGTCGGGACTGTTTTCAATGTTGGAAAACAAAAGCGTGAACTATTTGTTTTGATAGACCGTGATAAAGTAAATTAAAGGGTTCGCATTGGGACTGAGCTCCGACTGGAGTTATGGCCTTCAGTGAGGTAAGTGTCTCCTTAGTGTAGTAATGTCAGAATTTTTTCTTTCAATTATATGCTTAAAATTTAAAAGTTGCCTTACTACGTGTCATTCGAAACTTAATAAAAGCTGTTCAGAATAATGTTTTTACTGCATCATATCACTGCAAAAGTTTGCTTCAGCCATAAGAGATTGATCACTATACTGATTAAATTTACATGCATAAAAGCCTGATACCTGATAATAATATGCCATTCTAAATAAACACAAGAATTTATATTTCTTTATCAATGCAAAATCCTTAAAGGTCCACATTTATCATATTACTGTTAACTGATTATTTTCTGGCTTTTTCTGATATCAGTAAAGATAAGAAAGAATTATATATCTTTAAGTATTTGCGAGTTTACTGGCAAATATTTAAATTTTAAAATATGAATTCCTCCCAATATAATGAAAAAAAAAAAAAAATCATTATATTAATTACTTGACTTGTAACATTATTATAATGCAAAAATTTCATATATTTTTGCAAGATTGGAATGTGTTTTGAATCGATTAGAATGTTAATTTAAATGAACTAACTATATCAGTTGTTCATTCCATTCAATTCAATTTTAATTCATTATTTAATTTTTTATTTTAATTAGAGATAAAAATTTTAATATTATGCTTTTTATTTTAGATCAGCAAATATGATCATATTTGTTTATACATAAAGCTAACATATACATAACGTACAAAGATACATAAAATTATGTTGGTTATAAGCAAGTAACTTATTTTGCAACTTACAATAGATAAGAATCAGCCCCGTTGTCGCTTATTCAAATATGTTTATTGGGATGAGAATGTTCGAAATTCAACTGAGAATCATTCTATTTCTTAAATAATTTGTTTTTTAGGAAAAAAGTCAGCGTTTTTGTCATTTTTCATTAAACCTGATTTAACACATATAACAAATGATTAAACTTGAACTTGTTGTCATAGTCATCAAACTGTTTTATAAAACAACAGAAAATTAAAATTAAAATAATATAAAGTACTTAGTACAACACATTTATGGAAATAGGTAATTTTATTTTAATATCTGATTTTAATTCTCTATGCAGTATGAACAAACAATTAAATTTAATTCATAAGAAATAAATGAACTGATTTGGTATTTAGTAAGCAGTTTCCTTTCAACATCAACACTGAAGCCATGCTATCTTAAGTGAGCTTATAAATCATACATTTATAAGTACTTAAAAGTTGTAATTGTCCATTTAGATAAAGACATATGTTATCTATTTGTTTCTTGTTTCCATATTGAAGCTACGTGAATCACATCGAAGTGGCGTCTTGTGACGCAACAACCGTTAGAGATTCGCACGGGTCCGTTTCTTTGCTCTTCAGAAAGCAATTCTAAATGGGGCCTTATTTTAATTCACGGTTGGGAGAAAAATTAAAATACCGTAATACTACTCCCAGTTTCTTTTGTTTTTTCCTTTTTTATTTTTTTTTATCCTGTCGGACATTTTCGTATAACGATTAATTTAAGCATTCAAGGCGCATTGCGTTAACTCTAAAACTCCGATTTACACTAACTGAGCGTATTTACGCAATAATGGAACAACACTGCATTTCATTTGTTCCGCCGGAAATTACTTTTCTCTTCATATGTAATGTGAAGGTAATACGCTGGAATTTTGTTAGAGCCCTTTCATAAATGGATTCGCTTGTCAGGTGTTTCTCACGGTTCAATTGTTATTCAGACCTCGAAGAGAGACGTCCAGTGTTAGATCGGCTCCTCGCACCCTCTGAGCGTGCACTAAGATACGAATAAGAGGTTTTGAATAGTAAATGTATAGTGTAGTATACCCATCACTAAAGTCGTTTTACAGATAAGCAATTTTAGTAAATTGCTACGCTATGAGAAAACAGCAATAACTTACCGGCTTCGTGTACACGATAGTACCCAACATTGGTTCTATGATTTTTTTTTGTTTTGTAATATTTCTTTTGTTTACGCGAATGTTACTTTGAATGAATCTATGTTTATGGATTTTACCGCATTTTACAATTTAATGTAAGATAGTCGGATCTGTTGTGTCCGCACAGAGAAGTATGTGTTCATTACGCGCGGCGGTAATTAAAGTTTTATTTTTATTTGTAAACTTTTTTCTGTTCCGTTTATTTGGGAATGATGACGGTTTTGGATAAATACACAAAATATTTAACACTGCTGTACAGTTGGTAAGTCGGTAAATGTGGTGTTTGCACTGTGTCTTATCTATATAGGCCGTGGTTTCCTCGTAGGGCCTTTGACTGTTTACAGGAGTTATTTAACTAGTATAAAGCGAACAATTTCACAAGCATTTCTCAAATCAAATTAAGGGTTTATTTTTAGTTTTAAAGTTCTGCCCGAACATCCTCATAATGTACATGTTTTAGCTATTGTTTTTGCAAGAACTCATTACGTGCGGTCCGTACACCACTTCACGAACTGGTACAGCAATAAATCTTTATTTACAATGAGTGCTTATGAAGCTAAAGCTCAACTTTATTGATTTTAAATCATTAACCGCACCTTTGTTTTAGGTCACGAATGCATATCATACTATATCTTACATACCCTCAGGCGATTTCTTAAGATTTAGCGGACGGGAGACCCTTTTGTATCGCAAATTGGTTGTTCCCAATAAAAAACCTTAATATTTTTTCGTATTTCAAATAACTAGTTTGCTGTCTTGAAGCTGATGTGACAAGACTCGTGGCGACAGGAAAACAAGTATATTTGTAAAAATCTCATTTAATCAGCGGGTACCGCAAACGCCTCCACCGTGAAATGGTTGCGTAAAAACTTTATTGAATGTTGACGTCGGCGATCGTGTCGATTTGGGCAAAAATCTGGTAGCCGTGTAGGCAGGGTCGTCGACCCGGAATTATCACCGGTCCAATTTTGTAGGGCCCTCTTGTTGAACGCGGTACCGCGTATTTGCATTGAAGTCACTCTAGCGATAAAAACATACCATTTGAAAGTTTAAGCGCAAGTGCAATATACATAGTCGCCGCTGGAATTCGGATAAACAAAATGCCAACGACGGTCGGCAATGTAACGCCGACTCTACTACTTGGATATTATCCAAGACGTTTTATAGTAACGTTGTCCTGTTTGTCGTTCATGGTAAACATCTGCTTCTGCCAGACATTCCGGTCTTTGTTTGTCTTTTTCTCAGTCTTAAATTGGCGTGAGTAATTTTCTTTGATCCTTACCTGAAATTTTGTACAGCCAAATGGTTCTAAAACAAATTCTACAAAGAGACAGACAGATGCGAACGTTTTGAAACTTCTTAGTGTTCTAGTATTATCATCATATGTTTTTTTTCTGTTCCACCAGGTATTCAATTTTCCGTAACCCGCCGATTTGCTATAATCATTACTTTTAACTTAGGTTGCAATATTATAAAAAATAACTTATTCGGCGATACTGGTCATCTCTCACCGGTAGATGAGTTTTTTGTGGTGTTCATATGCAATAACGTATTACGTCCGTAACAACATCACTACTAGTTTGCGACTTTAGTGTCTAGAGCTTTACTTGGAGATTGGTAAAAGATAACAAAAGAAAATAGAATAATTGTTAACATTTTGTCGGGTTCAAGCGTTATGTGGTGAACGGCGGTTTTAGAGCACCCCTTGCCCTACTTGCTGATTATGTTCAACAAGGCCGTATTCTATTATGAAGTATCACTGGATAAATATAGTCGCAAGGGTCCGTCCCCACAGGCGCGGGTATGAACAGCCGGACCTTTTCATTAATGCGAAATG